GGTCAGGGACTTGAACCGTGGTTAGACAGGTGTGAGTTCAGCACCATAACCACGCCACCAGCTGGCCTCATTGTGTCTGGTTTTTGTTCAGTCATGATTATATCCCCAACATCTACCACACATATTATGAATTAACATATCATATCCCTGGCAAATAATAAGCACTCATACTTGCTGAATGATTGAGGGCTGCTTATTTGTTTGGAGAGGTTTTCGCTATAGGGCGTGTGCGCTCGCCAGACAGACAGAGAGAGACAGAGAGACAGAAAGTGAGAAATCACCCCCCAGGGGGGATGGTCACACCGCAATCCCTTCTCCTCTGTTCTCCTCTCGGGATCTTGGGCATGTACGCACACGCGCCCAGCGTGAGTTTTAAGCCACCGGGTCCGGGACGCGAACCAGGGTCGACTACATGGGAGTCCAGCGACATAGCAATTACGCTAACTGCTGGTTCCCAGGGCTGCTTATTTTTTGATGGATGAAATTGTCTGGCAGGCTAATGTGTTGCAACGCTCCATATTTCCCTTGCCCTCTAGTGCATTTCCAAAGTGAAGCCTGGCATGGTTTTTCCCTCAGTCTTGAGCTACCTGAAAGAATTCTGCTGGGAGAAGAGTGAAGACAGGGGACAACACCACAGCCTCTGAGCTCCAAGGTCTACACAGAACTAGTTTCCAGAGAAGTAGGACCTGTGGCTGGCACCTCATGCAGGAGCCCCAGGACCCTGTCAGAACCTGGGGGAAGGGTGGGGTTCCATGTGAACATCATGGCTCAACAAGTCATGCTGCCTGTAAGTGACTTTCAGGTCACCTCTCATAGATAACCAGTACGAAGTAGAGACCAAGAGGTGCCCCTCTTCTTTACTCTCCAGAACCGAGCAGTCTGAAATGAGGGCTTGTGTCTTATTCATCTGTTTCCAGACTCGGCATTTGTTGAATGAAACCAGTAAGGACTCCAGCTTCCAGGACTGTCCAGTACGCTCTACAGTGGGCAAGAGCTCCACCTACTGGCCCTTCAGCAACTGCAGAGAATTTGAGCAGGCTCTATAGGCAAGAGGGAGATGAGAAGTTGGCAGCCAACTTGGATTTTGCTTTCGTCGTGGCCATTAGCACCAGGTCTATTGGGATAGACTGTTAATCCTCAGGTGGACAAAATAAGGTACTAACTCCTGACTTAGACGCTAAAAGCCAGTGCCTCTGAACCCTCAGAGAGACGTGGCATTATCTTTCCCCTCTTCCCACACATCCACTTGATCCATCCTGGACTGGAGGCTCTTCTCTGACAAGAACGGTTTCCTTTTCCTTGCATGCATCTGCCTTTCTCACACCTGGCAAACACTGAAACTCTCCCCACAATGTTAAGCCAAGGTCAGCCACGTCTTCTCTTGCCTGTGTCCTTAGGGGTAGTATTTCTGGCACTCAGTTTGGAGCAGGGCTCAGCACAGTGAACAGGAACTGCTCCCATGCTTGACCTTACCCCTGGATATTGAGCTCTGAGACTTCTACGTCCAGTACATAGGAGGCACTTAAAAATACCAAAGGCAGGCCAGATGATGGGTGACGGTGACTGGACTCCACAGAGTCTACTGTATGGTTCAGGTTCTAGACCCTATGACTTAAAAAATATGGGGACCAGCAGTTGGCGTAATGGCTATGTTGCTGGACTCCCATGTAGTTGACCGCAGTTTGAGTCCCAGACCTGGTGGCTTAAACTCACACTGGGCACATGTGCATGCATGCCCAAGATCCTGAGAGGAAAATGGAGAAGAGATTGTGGCATGGCCATCCCCCTGGGGGGTGATTTCTCACTTTCTGTCTGTCTTTCTGGCAAGTACCCACGCCCTATAGCGAAAATCTCTCTAAAAAAAAAAAAAAAAAAAAATAAAACCTGGGCATGTTTGTGGACGAAGCCAAAATCCCAAACAGAGAATGGAGAAGGGATTGTGGTGTGGCCATCCCCTCGGGAATGCTATGGGAAAAATAAAGTGCTCCAAAAGTTACCAGGGATTCACACGAGCTATCCCATCTCTGCAAGGATAAGGGTAGTGAGGATGCACATAGTAATACACTTTTCTGGAGTCAGCAAGTGGTTTGGTGGTTGGACTTCTACATAAGCAACTGAAGTTCAGGTCCTGGACCTGGTAGCCTGAAAATTTTAAGAAATGAATGTTTTTTTTAAAAAAAACTTTTCTGGAAGGGTCCAGGAAAAGGAGTTAAAATGAGATGAGAGTGTAATTTTCAGTCTTATTAGATTTAATAAGTATGTTTGAACATAGGCGGTTAAGGCGCCAGACTCCCACATGGTTGACTGGTTCAAGTCGCAGGCCTAGTCACTTAAAAATCATGCCAGACATGTATTGTGAGCAAACCCAAAATCTCCCAAGAATGGAAGAGAGTGACCAGCAGACGACGTGGTTAAGGGGATTGGACTCCCTCATGGCTGACCATGGTATGAGTCCTAGACCTGGCAGCTTGCCTTCTCACTTTCTCTCTTTCTCTCTCTCTCTCTCAATCTCTTTCTGGTCAAATGAAAATAAATAAATGAATAAAATTAAAATAATTCTTAAAGGGGACCAGCAGGTGGCATGGCAATTAAGGCGCTGGACACTCCCACATGGCCAACCATGGTTCAAGTCCTGGGCCTGGTGGCTTGCTTTCTCACTTTCTATCTCTTTCTCCAGTCAAATTAAAATGAATGAATAAATTAATTTTAAAATTCTTTAAAAAAATATCTTAAAAAAAAAACGGAGGACAGGGGCTGGCAGGTGGTGTGGTGGTTAAGGTGCTGGACTCCCGCATAGCCAACCGTGGTTTGAGTCCCAGACCTGGCAGCTCACCTTCTCACTCTCTCTCTCTTACTGTTTCTGGTCAAATTAAAGAATAAAACTAAGTAAATAAAATTAAGTAAAATAATTCTTAAAAAAAAAAAAAAAGGAATGGGAGTTGGCATGTGGCATAGTGGTTGGGAACGCTTGACTTCCACATGGCCAACCATGGTTCAATTCACAGACTGAGTGGCTTGCTTTCTCACTTTCCCTCTCTCTCTCACTCTGTCCCTCTCTGGTCAAATGAAAATAAATGGGTGGATAAAAAATAAAGTTCAATAAAATAATTCTCAAAAAAAAAAAGAGATTGCAGTATGGCCATCCCCCCAAGGGGGTGATTTCTCATTTTCCATCTCACTGTCTCTGGGGAGCACATACGCCCCATGGCAAAAACAACCAACCAACCAACCAACCAAAACAGGGTCAGTAGCAGTTGCGTGGCACTTAGACAACCCTCCATGATGCTGGTCTCAGACAGGAAGGTCTTGGTTTCACGTCTAAAGGCCTTCCTACACACAAAGGGACTGCACATAAGCCAATGATCCAACTGGCATGAGGACCCTGTTGAGGTGTGGAGTGCCAATCTCTCTTGGGAAAATTTTTTTTCTTTTTTTTGGAGAGGATTTTTGCTATAGGGCGTGTGCGCTCTCCAGACAGAGAGACAGAAAGTAAGAAACCAACCCCCAGGGGGGATGGCCACGCCGCAATCCCTTCTCCTCCACTCTCCTCTCAGCATCTTGGGCACAGATGCACACGCACCCGACATGAGTTTAAGCCACTGGGTCCGGAACTCGAACCGCGGTCAACTACGTGTGAGTCCAGCAACATAGCCATTACACTAACTGCTGGTCCCAGAAAGAAATTTTTTTAAAGAATCATTTTATTGAACTTTATTTCATTTATTTATTTAAATTTGACCAGAGAGGGACAGGAGGAGGGGGAATAGAGAGAAAGCAAGCCACCAGGCCCAGGACTCTAACTGTGGTCGGCCATGTGGGAGTCTAGAGCCCTTAACCACCATGCCACCTGCCGGCCCCTTGGGAAAGAAATTAACTTTAAAAAAATGTAGAAACCAGGGGTCAGCAGGAGGTGTGGTGGTCAAAGGTGGACTCCCACATGGCCAACTGAAGTTCAAGTCCTGGACCTGACGGCTTGCTTTCTCTCTCTCTCACTCGCTCGCTTCTGTCCCTCTCTAATCGAATTGAAATAAATAAAGTTGAATAAAATAATTCTTTAAAAAAAATGTAGAAACCATTCTTAGCTTCTAGATAATACAAAAACAAGCTATGGGCTGGATTTAGCTTGTAGGTAATTTTGCCAACCTCCAGTTTTGACTAGAATACATACTGGAAAAGACACCGTGAGAAGCTATAGTCAGGAGCCCGCAAACGAAGGCCAAGAAGCCTCTGCAGCAAGCTCACAGGTCTGGATCCCAACCCTCTACCTGGCACCCAAGTTGACCTGGGTTGTGTAGGAAGTGGGAGAGGTTTAGTATCAATAATAAAACTCAAGACACATTACAAACAAACCAATTTATTGTTTTGTAGTAAGACATAGAACTTTTACCATGCAGATGGAATACCTATGTCAGCACGAACACGTTTTCCCCCTAGAGGCAGTTATATGGAAAACCAGATTACTGAGCAAGTGTGGAATCCAAACAAGGGGAGGCCTTACCATGGCTGCTGGGGCACACTTTCCCACCACAGGGCCAGCCTAGCCTGTAGAAAGGGCATTAACTCTTCGTGGCCCCCCCACCCCCGCTCCAGCTGGGCACCACTACGGTCTCCTCCTCCAGCCTCCCATCAGTGTCTGGGCCCGAGTCACATCTCTTCTGCTCGCTGGCTTTACAGGGAAGCCCAGCACCAATGAGTAAGGTCTGGAAGGGCCACGGCCACTGTTTCCATTGCCAACGATCAAACGAACCCTGCAAGGCCGCTCTCCAGGCCCCACTCTACTCCAGTCTTTTCAGATAACGTGCTCTGTAAAGCTGCCCTCCACCTCCATTAGCACATTCGTGGGTTACTACAAATTCCCCTAACCTACCCTAGCTCCCACTGAGGACTGAGGTTTTTCATTATAGCTTTATTAACTTCTTGATCAGTGATTCCCAAACATCTAGACAATGAAACCAACTGTGTCATCACTGGTATTAGGACAAAAATACAAAGGATATGCATTTTTCAGATTAAATTAATGTTATTTTGTTCTCTGCAATATAAAAAATGAGTAGATGCAGTCCTTAACTCAGTACTCAATACTAACTAGTAAGGATTGAGAAGTCGAAAATGCCTTTCAGCAATAGAAAAGTCTGCTTTCAAATTGAAAAAAACAAAACATGTATTGCCAACATTATGTAATAATGATAAAATTACAGAAGATAAAATATTTAGACTGACCCACAGCATTCACACCACACCAGAATTTTGCCTGTAAGGAAACAGTGACTTTGTCCCAAAAAGCAGGTAGGTCCATGCAGGCTGAAAACTTCAGCCGCAGACCCGGCAGAGGAAGACGAACCACACAGTACATGCTAACCAACAGATTCACAGACACTATCCGTTCTTCAACTCACCGGGGCGCTCATGGAGGGAGCTGAAATGTGGTATGGTATTCACATAGGTGGAATTCTCCAATTATAAAAATTCACGTGACCCTTTACTGTGTCTTGGGCTAAGATTTTATCTGTGAGACACTTTGAAAATCACAACAAAAATCAATAGGAAATGATTTAATATAAAATATACAAATTTCTCAGTATGACGACTTTCCAGACAGGAAGAAGGGTATCAACTAAAATGAATTTTCTTAAAAAACATTCCCCTTACCTTGTCCCTGCTACTCAACACTCAAAAAAAACAATCTGTAAAAACTGGCAACACAGAAAAGGACCAGTGAGCATGTTACGCAGCAAAGTCTTAGGACCTACTCTAAACTTCTGTCCCACCAAGACCACCTCTATCAGAGCTGAGGGTTCGCTCCCAGTCCGCTGGAGAGAGTGAGTGGTCTCAGATGCTCACCCCGGCTGTGAAGGACGGCCCCAGGTCACTCGCTGTCAAACTTAATGGAATTGACCTGCACAGAGATGGAGCCTCCCCGGTAGCTGCCCCGCTTCTTCTTCGTTTTCTCGTGTCGGAAGGATTTGCCTTTGGTGAACTTCAGAACCTGATTGGCTCGCTCCCCCCAGTCTCCAGCTGCACCTCGCTGTAAATACAGAGAGGCGGTTAGCGCACAGAAGGACGCTGGTGTCCTGTCACTGTCTGTTCTTGCTATGCCCTGCTCAAGGATATCAGAGTCCAGGGCGCTTCCTGTCCACCCGAACCCATTTCTCTCTTCCACCCTGGAAACGGGAAAGACCTTCTCTCACCTTGGCATCAAACGAGTTGTCTGCTACTCGTGAATCCACCTCAATTTCCTCCTCCCTGACCCTTCGGAATGGGGATGATGCCCTTTTTTCTCCCTAGAAAAGAATCAAGTAGGAAATTAAAGATGGAATCTGTGAAACAGGCATGTGCCCTCGTGCCAGGTAAAGCTGCCGAGATAGCCCCAGTTTTCTTCCTACTTCCTTTCCCTTTATAAATTAAAAAAAAAATTATTTTGTCTTTATTCGTTCATTCATTCATTCATTTATTTTTGAGAGGTTTTTGCTATAAGGTGTGTGCGCTTGCCGGAAAGACAGAGAGACAGAGACAGAAAGCAAGAAATCACCCCCCAAGGGGGATGGCCACACTGCAATCCCTTCTCCTCTTGGGATCTTGGGCATGCCCACACTCACACGCACCTGATGCGAGTTTAAGCCACTGGGTCTGGGACTCAAATGGTGGTCAACTACATGGGGAGTCCACCGACATAGCCATTACACTAACTGCTGGTCCCTCATTCATTTATTTACTAACATTTGACCAGAGAGGGACAGAGAGAGAGAGGGAGGGAGAGTGAGAAAGCAAGCTGCTACTCGAACCGCAGTCAGCCATGTGGGAGTCTAGCACCCTTAACCACCACTCCACCTGCTGGCCCCTCTTTTTGAATTTTTAAAAAGATCTCTGCCATAAGGCACGTGTGCTTGCTGGAGAGAGAGAGAGATAGCGAGACGGTAAGTCATCTCCTCTCCTCCATTCTTCTCCTGAAATCTTAAGCATGCAAGTGCACTCACCCAGCATGATTCTCAAGCCACCAGATCCAGGATTTGAACCAGGGTCATCCCCGTGGGAGTCTACCATGCCACCTGCTAGCCCTCTTTCTACTTTCAAACGGCAAGCTCGAGAATGAGGTGACTTACTTTCTTCCTTTTGGGAAATGTGTTAGGGGTCTGGAGCTTCACTTTCTTGGCCTGTGGAGTCTCTGCCTCTTTGGCATCCTCGTTCTGTTTCCGCTTCTTTCCTGAACCTATGAAACAGAAAGCTAGACTCAGAAGACCAGTAGTCTCTCCTCCCAGCTTCCAACAGGGGGTCCACAGTGGCAGCCTCCTCTCCCCACTCATCCTCCAGTAGCTTCTCTCACCTGAACTGGGGGCAGGGGAGACAAACACCACAGGGTAGGTGCTGTGGGTACAGACCTGGCTTGGAAACCACCGCAGCTGACTTTTTCTTTTCTTCCTCGTCCTCCTCCTCACTCTCCCTGCCTGCTTTTCCATTCTGGGCAGTCGGCGCAGAGGTGCCATTGGCCTTGGGAACTTGTGGTCTGGGAGTGCTCTTGCTCTTGGGTTTCTCCTCCTCCTCCTCCTCACTGGAGCCATCAGAGGAAGTGCTGCTGCTCGCGGCCTTTGCCTTCTTTGCAGAGGCTGGCCTGGAAGGGGCTCCGCCTCCTGCTGCCTTCTGCGGCTTCTTCATGGGGGTTTTCGACGAAGTCGTCTCCTCCTCCTCCTCCTCCTCACTGCTGGAGCTCTCTGAGTCAGAACTGCTGTCCCCTCTGGCCTGAGGAGCCTGTTTGGCAGGCAGGGATGGCGCTGCTTTGGCAGTCACCTTGGGCTTAGGGGTGGCCGCAGGCTTCTTTGTCTCCTCCTCCTCCTCGCTGGAGCTGCTCTCCTCCTCGCTGGAGCTGCTATCAGCCTTTCTTGTCAGAGGCTTCGGGCCGCTGCCTGCAGATGGCTTGGGAGTGGCAGCTGGCTTAGCTGGTGGCTTGGGGGTGCCAAGTGGCTTACTTGAGGAATTCTTAGTGGTACTGGCTGGTTTGACAGGAGCTCCACCTTCAGAGCTGTCAGAGTCTAGACGGACAGGGGACAGAATGAACATCTCCCAAATCTGACTCGAGTTGCCCACGGAAGAGGGTACCCCACCCCGAGGGCCTCCGTGCGCCTCACCAGAGCTGTCTGTAGAGCTCTCTGCTGCCTTTGCTGGAGCTGGTTTAGTGGCCGCTTTAGGGGTAACTGCCTTAGCTGGAGGTTTCTCCTCTTCCTCAGAACTTGAATCTGGAGAGATTATGTGGCGTTACGTGGGTCCGCAGCCAAAGCCCGACCAGGAGAGGGATACAAAGAAGAATGCGAAGACACACGGAAAGCCTCGGCCCTGCTATGCTTCAGAAAATACCAATGTGGGCCAGGATGTCTCTCCCCCTTATTTCTCAGGCCCTCCCCTAGACCCAGGCACAGCTGCAGTCCTCACTCACCAGACTCATCACTGCTGTCTTCACTGCTCTCCGCGGGCGGGTTCTTCTCCACGGCCTTTTTAGGAGGCTGACTTCCAGGGGCCTTCTTTGGTGGGGGAGCAGAGGGTGGGGGGACTGAACTATAGGGACCTGTATAAAAGGGACAGTGTGGTGGTTTTAAAATATGTACACAGATCCTTTCACACTGCTCCCTTCTAGAAATGGATCTTAATTACCCTGCCTTGAGTGTGACTCATCTTGAACCACGGTGGAGGCCACGTGTGCCACCTGAGGCTACGGGACAGAATGCACCACGGCTCCCTCTTATCTCTGGACGCAACTCAGGGAGAGGCTGTCATGCAGGGGGACACTCAAGGGGCTGTGGAGAGGTCCAGGTGCTGACTGCAACTGGGCCCTGGCCAGAGCCACTCAGCCCGACTCCCACGTCCTGTCACCTGGATTTTTCTTCACAGGTTTTTTCTGCTCCTCCTCCTCCTCACTGGAGGAGTCCTCACTGCTGGAACTCTTCTGGGCAGGGGTTGCCGCTGCTTTCACTGGGGCCTTGGCCACAACTTGCTTTTTAGGGATAGTCTGATTTAAGAGAGAAAATCCATTATCAAAAAATGCTGACCAACCGATCTGGCGGAATGAGAGACACGCACACCAGCCCTGGTCACCTCTTCCCTGAGAGAAGTTACCGCCCAGACCTTTTTGGGGTTCGCTGCTGCCTTCTCCTCCTCTGAATCATCGCTGCTGCTGCTGCTACTGCTGCTGCTGCTGGCTGCTTTGCCATTGGCTACTTTAGATACTGCTCGAGCTGGTGCACCTAAGAAGAAAAGGGAAATAAGTAAAATAAAAGCAAGTCCGAGGGGTGTGGGAAAAAACCTTTCTCCTACTAGAGCAAAACCGAAGAATCTACCAATTCTTTGCACTTCAAAGTAGTATGAAAAACAAGGCCATAGTCTGGGACCAGCAGCTGGCATAATGGCTATGTCGCTGGACTCCCATGTAGTCGACCACGGTTCAAATCCCAGACCAGGTGGCTTAAACTCACACCGGGCGCGAGTGCATGCATGCCCAAGATCCTGACAGAATGGAGTAGAATGGATTGTGGTGTGGCCATCCCCCCTGGGGGGGGTGATTTCTTGCTTTCTGTCTCTCTGGCGACCACACGTGCCCTATAGCAAAAACCTCTCCAAAAGAGAGAAAAAAAAAAAAAAAAAAAAAAGCCATGGTCTAGACATTAAAAGACAACTCCTGGGACCAACAGATGGCATAATGGTTGTCACTGGACTCCCATGTAGTTGAATGCAATTTGAGTCCCAGACCCAGTGGCCTAAAACTCATGCCAGGTATGTGTGTGTGTGTGTATGCCCAAAGTACCGAGAGGAGAATGGAGATGGAATCGAAGCATAACCATTTCCCCTAGTGGGTGATTTCTCACTTCTGTCTCTTCTGTCTCCCCAGAAAGCGCCATAATGGTTGTCACTGGACTCCCATGTAGTTGAATGCAATTTGAGTCCCAGACCCAGTGGCCTAAAACTCATGCCAGGTATGTGTGTGTGTGTGTATGCCCAAAGTACCGAGAGGAGAATGGAGATGGAATCGAAGCATAACCATTTCCCCTAGTGGGTGATTTCTCACTTCTGTCTCTTCTGTCTCCCCAGAAAGCGCACGAGGCCTACAGCAAATAATAAAAAAAAAAATCCCTTAAAAAAAGGGGAGGGGGGACCAGCAGATGGTGTAATGGCTACGTTGCTGGACTACCGTGTAGTCGACAATGGTTCGAGTCCCAGACCTGGTGGCTTAAACTCACACCAGGCACGTATGCATAAGTGCCCAAGATCCCCAGAGGAGAATGGAGGAGAAGGGATTATGGCGTGGCCATCCCCTCAAGGGGGTGATATCTTACTTTCTATCTCTGTCTTTCTGGTGACCACACGCGCCCTATAGCAAAAACCTCTCAAAACAAAACAGGGACCAGCAGATGGCACAGCAGTTATATCACTGGACTCCCACTGGCCGACTGTGGTTCGAGTCCCACACCAGGTGGCTTCAAACACATGCTGGGTACATGTGCGTGCATGCCCAAGATCCTGGGAGGAGAATGAACTGCAGCTGGCCATGCCTCCTGGGTGGGTGATTTCTCACTTTCTGTCTATCTCTCTCTGGCAAGTGCAACTGCCTTATAGCAAAAATGTCTCAAAAAAAAAAAAAAGGATGGGGACCAGCATTGGCATAATGGCTATGTCACTGGACTCCCATGTAGTTGACCGTGGTTCCAGTCCCAGAACCGATGGCTTAAACTCACACTGGGTGCATGTGCATGCGTGCCCAAGATCCAAAGAGGAGCCAAAACCTTTCCAGAAAAGGGTGACATGGGGCCAGGAGGTGGTGTGGTGGTTAAGGCACTGTGTGTCCAAAATCCCTAGAGAATAGAGAATGGACTGTGCACGGTCATACCCATGGAGGGTGATTCGTCAATTCTGTCTCTCTCCAGCGAGCATAAGCCCTGCAGCCAAAAAAAAAAAGATAACACATTTAAATATACCCTCCAAAGTCTTTCACTTTAACCTCTTTTCAAAGAAGCTCATATAACTTTTATCACAAGGATGTCACAGAAGAAAAAAATTCTCATTGGTCCTACAGAACAAAGAAGCAGGGGTAAAAATGGTAGTGAAAAGCACGAGGAATAGACTTAGAGGTGGTCCAGAGAGATGGAATCTATGGGACCATAAAATACATGTGGAATGCAACTAAACAATGCCAAATAGACACTTTTTTTGGGGGGGTGGATTTTGCCTTAGGGCATGTGCACTCCCAGACACACACAGTTGGAAGGAAAGTGAGAAATCACTCCCTTTGGAGATTGCTGAAATGCAATCCCTTCTCCTCCATTTCCTGGGATCTTGGGCATGCAGGCACATGTGCCCAGAGTGATCTTCAAGTCAATGGATCTGGGACTCAAACCGTGGTTGGCCATGTGGGAGTCCAGCGATGTAACCACTATGCCATCTGCTATGCCTCACAACATCTTTTTTTTTTTTAAACCATCTCAGTTTTTTTTCATAATTTATTTTATTTTATTTTATTTTATTTTAATTTGACCAGAGAGAGACAGAGGGTAAGAGTGAGAGAGAGAAGTGAGAAAGCAAGCCACCAGATTTAGTACTTGAACCCTGGTTGGCCATGTGGGAGTGTCCAGCGCCTTAACCACACCACCACCTGCTGGTCCCAGAACATCTTTTAACAATACATTTTTGCTTGCTACAATGACTATTTCTCTGTTTGCTAGCCCCTAAAAAAAATTATTAATAAAAAGCTTAAAAAAAAAAAGAGATGTTAATTAGTTCCTCTATTACAATTCAACCACCAGTAACATTTCTCTCCTTTTAAAATTTTCTACAGGGCACACAGGCTTGCCAGAGACAGAGAGAGGAAAAGTGTTCTCTTCCATTCTCTTCTTGGGACTTTGGTCCCACACATGGCATGTTCTTTTTAAGCCACCAGGTCCAAGACTCAAGCCATGGAGTTAGCCATGTGTGATCCACTGCCTTAACCACACCACCTGGTTGCCCCCTCTTGGGATTTTAGGTATGCACATAAACACGTTCGACATTTTTGAAGTCATGGGATCCAGGATTCAAATCACAGCCACGTGGCATTCATCACCTTACCCACATACCTGGCTGGTCCAATCAGTCACCTTTCATCCCTGTGCTTAGTGATCAATTTTAACACCAATTTTCAGAGCAGTATGTCCCCAGCCTAACCTCTTGAGAACAGAAATGGTACCTGGTCTGGCTGGGGCTTTAGCCTGAGCTTTAGCTGCCACAGGTGCTGTCTTTGGCTTCTGGTTCTTTGGTGCCTCATCCTCTGAGCTTGAATCAGAATCAGAATCTGAGCTCTTGGCCTTCTTAGCAGGAACTCTGGCTGCCTTGGCTTGGGGCTTACTTCCCTTCTATTAAAAAAAGACATAAAGAGAGAAGTCAGCTAGAATCTCTGGGTACCCAAAGGGCATCCTCAGCTCCTTTATTTCTTAGAAGCCTACTGGAGCAGTGAGAACAAGGGAGAGCTAAGCAGGAGAAATCATGGAGGGCATAAAATAATGAACAAGAAAACTCAGCTATTGATAATGTCCCTGTTGCTTCTACTGCCTCCCTGAAAATTCCCCCAGATTTTCCCCTTCAGTCACCTATTATATAGCCACAATCAACCCTTGGTCACTAGTCAGAAGCTAAGATTTTAAGTTTCCTTCTTTCCAAACCCTTAAGTAACATCCTTCCTTCCCAAAGTTGCAAACCTGGACTGCTATTTTCTTTTTGTCCTCTTCCTCCTCCTCCTCATCACTGGATTCCTCACTGCTGCTGCTCTCCGATGCTTTGGCTGCAGCCTTTCCAGGATGCTGGGGCAGACCGGCCCTCTTGGCAGATACAGCTGAAGAAAAGCACAGATCTCAGTAGGAACCTGCCATTGGTGTCGGCAGGCTACGAATCCTTTTCTTGGAGTCACCAAGCCCGATCTCCTGCCCTGCCTTACCGGCCTTCTTAGCTGGAGGCCCTTGAGCTTCTTCCTCCTCCTCGCTGCTGTCCTCACTACTGTCACTGGACGAAGTCTTCTTAGCCTTCTTGGTCACTGGTCCATTTGCCTGTAACTTGCGCTTTGGAGCTTTGGCTGATCTGCTGAAATAGATTAGGCTAAGAACTTCTGGGGGACTGGGACCTCCCCAAATAAAGGAACACAGTCTAGCCCCCCCCTGGGGAGAGGAACTAAGAGTGAAACAAAGAAGGCTTACTTGAGCCAAAAGCTATAGATGTCCAAGAGCGAAGAGGCATTAGCATCCTGCTGCGTCTGTAGGACAAAAGAGCTGGGTTAAGGAAGTTTTACCCTGGTCATTCTAGGAGAGATCGTATTTTGTGTTATTACATCTTCATGGTCTTTTCTGACCTGAAGAAATTAGGGAGAAAAATATTCTATTTGTATATTTTCCAATTTGGGGTACTAAAAACTCAAACTATTCCTATAGTTTGTGGTAACATCTGTGTTCCTTCCAGACAACCTGTATTTTGTTTGATAACAAACTGTTATAAAAAGCTCATTCTCTTTAGTTTAGCTATGTATTAGGTTGTTCGGAAGGTGATAACATATTTTTCTTTTTTTCTAAGTAAAAATGCATCATGATTCCCAGTGACCCAATATTATCTAAGTTGGTTTTTGTTTTTTTTTTTTTGGGTGAGAGATTTTTGCTATAAGGCATGTACTATCACCAGAGAGACAGAAAGAGAGAAATCACCCCCCAGGGGAGGATGGCCACATCGCAATCCCTTCTTCATTCTCCTCTCGGGATCTTGGGCACACACGCACACGCGCCTAGCGTGAGTTTAAGCCACCAGGTCCGAGACTCGAACCACAGTTGACCACATGGAAGTCCAGCAAAATAGCCATTACGCCAATTGCTGGTCCCAACCCTGCATGAGTTTTAAGCTACTGGATCTGTGACTGGAACTGTGGTCAACTATGTGGGAGTCCAATGATGTAACCATTACACCATCTGTTGGTCCCCTAAGATTTTAATCAGCCAGAAAAACAAGGGCACAAACACTACTACAAGAGGGTGTTTGCCACAGTGTAGATTATAGGACCAAATCAATGCAAGTAAGCCTCCAAGAGAAGACTGGTAAATAAGCTATGCCATGCATAAAGAATTGCACTCAGCTATTAGATATTACTAATATAAAGTATTAATTGACCACGGGAAAAAAGGCATTACAGTACATACAAGAGTTCAGGCTCTGAATCACACAAGTACAGACTTGTACTCACTTCTGCCAGTTATTACTCTGTGACCCTGGGCAAATCACTTAATCTGAGAGTGTTTTCTACAAAAGAATTAATACTAAACATCTTATTAATTTGTCGACAGGATAAGAGATAATGTAAAGATTAACATCTGGAAATAGTGGCTGGCCTGTAGTAAGCCCTTCACATCGATTACCTTTTTATTAAAAAATAATTATTTTAAATTTTATTCATTTATTTTAATGTGATGAGAGAGACAGAGAGAGAGAGAGAGGCGTGTCCAGCACTTTACCAACCACGCCACCTGCTGGTCCCCACACTGATTACCTTTTATCACACACATAAAGAAGCCTCACTCTGAAATGCCCAATTCCATCATGGAAACACTCCATGGCAGACTGTCCCGGTGCCAAGTCCTGAAGCTGAAGTTGATCTGACCCCTTCCTGTGCAGCCTCGGTCACGCCACCATCCCTACCAAAGGCTATCTGTTCCGAGGTGGTTTCTCATGCAGGTCTGTGTGTTTTTTTGAGATACAGATTCCAAGTATCTCATGTTCCTACTCACCTTGCTCTTACACGTGTTCAGAACCTCCTAAACTGTCCTATCATAACGGCTTTCACTTACAGTGGCTCCCTGTGAACCAGCACTAGGACTGGTACTTGGTAAATTACTATCCTTCTGAAATACAAAAACCCTATAAAGTGGAAGATAACGTCCCCATAGAAATAAAGTCAGGTTAAGCAAGATGCCAGGTCACATATATAAAAAGTGGCAGAGCCTGGTTCCAAACTGGGCCTTGTGGGATCCCATAAGTCAAACCTCCAAGCTCATCACTGCTATGCCTCAATGGTAGGGCTATGTATGACGCCCTAACAACCCCCTCTTCAACATAACCAAAGGCAGAACCCTGCCTCTACTCTCATTCATTTTCTCTCTCACTAATGAAAATTCCAGCCTTCATTTCTAAGGCAGTTTCATTTATCGTTTGAGTCTGGGAAAAATGCGATTCAAGGTAAGGTCAAATCATCAAGCTTTGCCTCTGACCACGAAAAGAACCACGCGCTGCCAATTCTCTGCGTGGGACACGGCGCTGGCTCCTTGCTGCACTCTACTAGCCATGTGACCTGGCCACGAGTGTCCCACGTTGCCGGTGCTGCAAGCCTTACCAGATATAAGCAACAAGACTCAGAGGTACCTAGTTAGAATTGCCGGAACAGGAAATACCAAGGCCTCGGTCTTTCGCCGGTTACCTCCGAGGGGTCGGCGCAAGGCCTCGCAGACATTAAACCCACAGACCCCACAGACCTCTCTAACCGGAAACCTAAGCATGTCAGGGCCTGGAGCCTGGTGATCATCCCACACCAGCCTGCACCCAAAGCCCGAAACTTACAGCGCCCGTCGCTTTGGCGAACTTATTGGCCACCTCCGAGAGTTGGTTATCGCGCAAGAAGCCGAGCACGAGGGGATACAGGTCGCTAGGAACCACGCGGCGCAAGCCGGCGTCCGCCATCCTCCCGGCAAGCGCGTCACTACCGTGGCCGACGCACCACTACTGGCGAACTCAGTAACGCTACAGGGGCGAAGGCGGGCTGTGTGACGTCATCGCGCTGCGCGGGCGCGGAGCGGAAGACACGTGACTCGACAGGGCAGCCCCGCCTCCCCGTCGGAGGCAGGGTCAAGGCGAAACGTAGGAACTCTTTCCGGTCCCATCTGCGTCTCCATGTTGGTGAGGGCAGAGCCCGCCCGTCGCCACTTCGTGGGGGCGGAGCTCTGACGTGAAGAGCCCAGCCCCTGGCCGTGGCGGGAAAACTCTGGATTTCCCGCGCGTTTTCCCCTTGCAGGAACGTTTCTCAGAAGAGCGGGTTCTTGCGTCCCTGCTGATACTCGGATTCAACAGTGATAAGTAGACCTCGCCAGATTTGGCCGCAAGATTTCCAAGCCGCCCCATTCACACTACCGATGGATTCCCATCCTATTTTTCACAGTTTCCAACACTCAGGGAGGTTGCGCTTTCTCCACCACAACCTCCAGACTCCCGCCATCGCAGACGATTCTTAACATTGTCCCTAGTGTGTGGCAGGGTGTTGATTCCCTAAACCGCACCTCCAGTCATGACTTCCCAGTAAGATAATCCTCCTTCCCCTTACTTATTTCAGCTTTAAATTAACTCCACTGTGAGAAAAGGGGTCGTGCACCAATCCTGAATCATACGGCAATTCCTTCAATCTGTAATCCTAAAAATTATCCTTGTTCCTCATGAGTCAGAAGTCACGCTGTATTCTGTTATGCATAACTCCAGTATCAGTGCCAGGCCTACCAAGTTAATTCCAAGTTCTGCCCTATTTCAGGTCATATTAGCAGTCGGTAATCCCTTTGACTTTAGCCACCTACCTACAGGGTATTAGGCTTTAATGCCCCTCAGCAAGGATAAGTATCCACCTCCTACTGAGACACATCTCTCTCTTGCCTTTCTCAAAACATGCAATCCTTGGAGTCAACAGGTGGTGGTACAGTTGGGGTGCTCGACTCCCCACAGGGCCACCACGATTTGAGTCTCAGACATGGTGGCTTGCTTTCTCACTTTCCCCCCTCTCTTTGGTGAGCACACGTATGCCCTTTAGCAAACTTAAATGTCCTAGCTGGAACTCCAGTCCTACAGCTCCCTCTTCCCCAGAGTTTTTTCCACAAGCATGCATTTAAAAAAAAAAAAATTGATTTAGGATCAGCAGGTGGCATGGTGGTTAAGGCACTGGACTTCCACATGGCTGACTGTCCTGGATCCAGCAGCTTGAAACAGAGGGTGCCATCATCCTTGCATGCCCCAAATGCTGAGAGAATGGAGAAGGGGCTTTGGTGTGGCCATCCCCACAGGGAAGTGACTTCTCACTTTCCCTCTCTCTCCAGGGAGCAGACATGCCCTATGGGGAAAAATTACTAATGTGATACTGATTTTCTTTATGCCAGCAGGTACATGCATGAGACACAGAGAGGTAACTGACCCCCCCAAGGCTGGTCACACTGTAATACTTTTTCCTCCATTCTCCATCCTTTCGGGATCCTCAGCATATTTGAAGACATGTTTTTCTTTCTATCTTTCATTTTTGGAGAGGAGAGGTTTTCTGCTAGAGGGCATGTGCGCTTGCCTGAAGGACAGAGAGAGACAGACAGACAGAATACGAGAAATCATCCCCTGAGGAGATGGCCATGCTGCAATCCCTTCTCCTCCATTCTCCTCTCAGGATCTTGGGCATGCATGCACACGTGCCCGATGTGAGTTTAAGCCACCGGGTCCAGGACTCGAACCGTGGTTGACTACATGGGAGTCCAGCAACATAGCCATTACACCAACTGCTGGTCCCTGAAGACATTTTTTTTTTTTGTTTTGGGAGTTTTTCACTGTAGGGGGCGTCCCTTT